AGACGAGGAATTCGTGAAAGTCTGGTTTGCATCAATAGGAGTAGTGGAAGGCTTCCAAATCGTCCGAGCAAAACACAACCTCGCAGAAACGGATTTACTCTCCTAAAGTGAGTGTTAACCCCAAAACTTTACTTTTCATTTTCCAAATGATATGTACGATTGGTGGAGCTATTATACATTACTCCAAGTGTATAATAGGTCCTCATAAGGTTATTTTATTGATGTAAAGGTTAGATACTAATCTAGAGCAAATCTTGGAAAACTAGGAAACGAGTTAGCCGGAAAGCACCCATTCTAGGGGCTGTTTTCGTATCAACGATTAGGGGTTGAACTAGCACTTGAGGAGGCTGTTTAACACTCATTTCCAAGCAAGGAATCAGTTCTCAAACCTTCTTGGCCGAGGCTTTGGTCGTTAGATCAAGAAGGAAAGTTTTAAAGCTCATTTGAGGTGAGGATCGACATCTAGTTGCTTACAACTTGTAGGTTATGCATGAGATTACCTAAATGCTTAAATCATGTTTTTGTGAATAAAGAGGCTTGAACATGATATGAATGATAAGTAATGGACTTGATCATGAATTGGAAACATATTGATGAATATGGAGTCATATGAGATAGAAGTATGCTAATATGGTAAATTGACCTTTCCAACTCATGTATGAATGTTATGTGTATGTAAATGTATAATTGCATGGTGATGCTTAGCACATGGGAGGCTGCCACATATCTATTGATATGGAGGGGCTACCATTAAGAATAAATGAGTTGTAGGAATAATCTTAATAGTATTGTGATGCTAGTTAAGGATTGTTCTAAATGTCGATAGAATCAAACTTAAGGTTTGAGTTTGTTTGTGATGAACTTGAATAAGATTCAAGTGTCAATTGTGATTTCATGGAGTATGAGATCTATGGTGTGATTGTATGAAGTAGGAGATCTATGGGGTGAATACAAGAAGTAGGAGATCTATGATATGATTACATGAAGTAAAAGATCTATGATGCGAGTGCATGATGATGTACTCGAGCCGAACTCTAGAAATGAGAAGTTATATTAGGGTTGGACCCTATGTATGTCGTGACCATTAGTCACGGGGTTTGGGAAATGTTTTGTAATAAACATGGGCCTTTGAGCCGACTACTTGACTTTATAGAAAGTAAGTATATATTTTGAAGGGGTAATTTGAGATTACAGCCTAAACTATATTATCACCCTATTTGAGGGTTTTGTGTGTGAAATACTTGTTGTATATCTATTAGATGCCTGCCACACCAGTACTTTATAGCCGTATAGAGTACTGACCCCTTCGGGGGCGTCCCACCACCATTTCAGGTTGGGGCTCGAGCTTGCTACCTGTGCCCGTTGCTCGGGTGATCCTTTGGAGAGAAGACGTGGTTCGTGCTTTCTCTATTCTGTTTTGAACAATATTAAACATGCTCATGGATATTTTACTATAGAGCCTGCGTGCTCATGAATAGCCCTGTGTGGCCCTTTTGTTTTAAACAATGTTTTCCGCTGCGTTATGAATTACTTATTATGTTTGTTTATGGATGTTATGTGTGTGAATGATATTCAAGACGCCTTGTATAATATGAATGTGTTGGACTGCGGTTGACTATTCGTATTGTACGGCGGGTTGTTGACGTGTCCGGGGAGGTCCGGGGCGTGACACAGACAGTCATCTGGGGGCCTCAGTGGGGACTCTCGGTGTGGCCTGAGCAGCATACCTAGCCTTGTGCTGGTTTGAGTCCAGAACCAGGGAGCTCAAAGACGATCGACTAGCACATATTGATGGAAAGAATGAAACTTTTGTTTCATTCTTTCTATCCATAGTTCATAGGGACTCTTCTTATGAGTTTGATAAATGAAACTTTTGTTTTGACTTTAGCATGTTCTGTATATAGCTTCAACTCGAAATGTTGTGTATAATCCTTCTTCAGCAATAATTACCCTCTCTCCCTTCTTTAGAGTTGTATTCTTCCCTTTAACAACGCCATTTTATTGTGGTGTTCTTTCGGTTGAGAGTTTATGGATTCAAGATGCTTGACAAAAATTTGGAATAACCTTATTAACAAAGTCAGTGCACTGATAAGATCTCATTTTCAATATTGATGAGATTTGTTCATTTTGAATCAACTTCATTAGTTTAGGGAGTATAATATTCTCTACCACTACCAATGTGTGCTTTTGCCACTAACGGCTGTTGGTTTAACTGGTCCAAATAAGTCCAGGTATAAACGACCTAGTGGCATAGCAGACTAATATTCTAATATGGGTTTTAGTAAGGAACTTGTCTACCCCCCCCCCCCCCCCCCTCCCTCAAGCAAGCATCACGCTGATGTTCAATCTTGTATGTGATCCAGGCACACTCGTAAGATTCATTTTAAGCAAGCTTGTTAATAATTTTAAAGTTGAGAAGGCTCTTCTTTGTGCCAATCCCAATTAATTTTACAATCTCCTTCAACGAAAAAGTGACCATTACTTTGTTCTCCTTAAAATAGCTATGTACATGGACTTCTTCCTCTTGTTAGTGAGCACAACTTTATTGGTTTGAACATCTTTGAATGTTGCAAATATTTATTGTAGAATTGGACAATATAACCTTTTTAGCAAAACGTTTTTGTGCTCAAGAGTTGAACTTCAATCCCACAACATACGAGACATCAGTAATTGAAATTAAAGTCTACATTTCCAATTACATTTCCTTTTCCTCTCTTAAACTCTCAAATTTATTTTAGGTTTATTAATTGATATAACATTTCACACATTTTTGTTATTATCCGTGACATGCCTCAAGTAGCTAGTGCGAAAATACTAGGTCTCTATATTTCATACTCCATCTCTCTCACTTTTAATCATATTTGACAGAAACACACACATTGGTGGTTCACATGGCTTAAACAAAACTAGGCATGTTATCCGATACTGGCGAAGATCTTAAGGATTAATAGTATAACTCATACCAACATGGTGCATCTTCTTTTAAGGGGGGTCATCTAAAAAACACCAATGTTGAGCATGCTTGAGATGCGCATGAGTGAAGACAAAGTATATAGTAAAGACTTGTATTAGTTTGTGAGGACAATTTGGGTCTAGAGGGAACATCACGAGGTCAGTGTGTCACATAATCCCGTATAGAGATCAAAAGAGTTACAAGGATATGTTTATAACCATAGTATGTATTTTAGTTATAGGAGATGCAATCAAGCATTAGTTTATTCACATAATGAGTATGTGCAGGGGTGTGATTTTTTATAGTAGTTGTGTTCTGTCTTTTTATGCACATGTACTGACTTGATTTGAAAAATTGATCTAGCCAAAAGTCCCCTCAAACTAGACTAAGTATTTGAAGCCGAATTGGTTCCTTCAAAGTTTTTGAAGCTTGCATTTGATATGATCTTTTGAAATGCAATGGCTTTCTACTAGACAAAGTATGCAATAAGATTATTTAAAAACGGGCTGCATTTGATTGATTGCTTTGGTGAAATATTCGTGCCTAATGATTAGTGATTCTGAGGTAGTTGGAAGTTTATTATTCGTCGTGGTCTATTTGCTGAGTTAGTACTAGATGAGGTGAATATTGGTAACTCGACTATCATAGTAGTGCTTCATCATTTTCTATAGGAGTCCTTGGCAGATGAGTCATTCTATAGTTGAGACCTTGATAACATATTGTTCTTTTGATGGGTGCAGTTGCTTTATTTTATTTTATATATCCAATCATTCTAGCTTAAAACAACCATTATTGAAGAACTCTACCTCTCACTCGCTCACTGTGCATGGTTATCTTGACTCTCTAAATGCAAGTTATAAATAAAACTACACTCGACTGCTGGTTAATCTTAAAGATGTTTATCAATGGTTGAACTTGTATGACCTTGCATGATATTCGTGGAAGAATTGGCTAGTATTGTATCTTTGAAGCATAAAGAAGGAAAGTTCAATTAATCATATGTATTTTCACATGGGGTGATTGATCTGCTATGAAGTATTAAAAAAATATATTGAAACAATACTAAACAAGTACTTCTTGTTTTATTCAACAAACTGAGTTTGAAGAAATGATGAAAAACAGAACATTCCGTTTTACCTGTTTTTTTCGAAGGAGAAATAAGTCCGGCACAAGAGTTGTCATGTTTATTAGATGGTCATTATCGCCATTGAAACGATAACACATAAAGAGTTACACAATGTCAAACATCAGTTTAAGTTTATTTACATGTGCTCCAAAAGAATATAGCAAAGTTATTGAAAGAGCAATTGAGGTGATGACAATTTTCATCATGCATTTATGTATTGTTGAATATATAATTTTTATGCGTATAATCTATAGTTGGGTTTTAGTAACATGCATGTTATGAGTTATGCATATGAGTTAGTAAATCATCTAAATTAGATTAGATGTCATGTAACAAAATACAATTATTGAACTAAGCTCATTCACAAGTCATATGCTAATATTAGTTATACTATTTGGAAGGTGTTCATCTTCAATCACAATGTAATACACAATTCAATGCTCATACGATATCGGATTCTTATGATTCTTGATCCTATAGATCCCTCAGTTAATCAAGAATCATATACAACAAAAAAATTGGATGTTAGATCAATTATATTTTGTAAAACCAATCAAAACTACAAAACACTACATGAAAATCGTTCCAATGACCATTTGCACTTCCAAACCAAATATCTCTTGAATGACTCATGTTCACGACTCAAGTGAATACTCTCCTTAAAGCTTACGAAAATCCCTACAAGTTAAAAAAAGAATCATCGAAATCCATGAAGTTTAGAGCAAGCTATGGGTGGATTAATCGAGCACAAAAACACACCTCTATGAGCCAAAACAAGAAAATATAAAATGATCACCAACCAAAGCTTTCCTCACTCCGAGTTTTCCACCGTCGATAGGGCTTAAATCTCACGGCTCACATTCAAAACGTCTGAGCATATCAATCCGCTTTACACTATCTACACCAATCAGAGATGAGCTTCTAGATATGAAGTTCTTCATCCTTGCTATTTAAATCTGATGATTTTTCTCTTACATATGCAATCACCGATCTAATCTCTCTCGAATCATTTGAGTTTCCATTGATCTCTTCCCCCTCAGCCCGCCCTAACTCAGATTCTGTGATTAGAGCATTTTCCGGCACGAAAATGTCCACCGACGAACCAGTTGCCGACGCTGTCGAAGCTACGATTGAGGCGGCCGAGATGCAGATCGAGGCGGTTGAACCTGCGGACGAGCCGAAGATTCCTCCTGCCAAGTCAACGAAGTCCTCTGCTTCAAGGAAGAAAAGCCCTGCTCACCCACCCTACTTCGAGGTACGGTTTCGAAATGGTTTCAGTTGTCAAATTTCATTGCATTTTCGTTTTTTAATGGTTTCAGATCTAATTCGGTTTGATCTTCGTCTTCTGCAGATGATTCAGGAGGCTATTGTGTCTCTGAAGGATAGGACTGGATCGAGTCAATATGCGATTCAGAAGTTCATCGAGGATAAGCAGAAGAATCTCCCTTCCAACTTCAGGAAATTGTTGCTCGGTCAGCTGAGAAAGCTTGTGGCTTCGGATAAGCTTGTGAAGGTGAAGAACTCCTATAAGCTCCCGTCTGCTTCAAGGCCTGCTACAACTGCAGCTCCTGCTAAGAAAACCGCCGCTGCCACCAAGTCCAAAGCCGCCGTAAAGGCGAAGAAGGCGCCTGCCAAGCCCAAGTCCAAGGCTGTTTCCAAACCTAAGCCCAAGGCTGCTGCCAAAGCTGCACCCAAGCCAAAGGTTGCTGCTTCTAAGCCGAAGCCTAAGGCAAAGCCAGCTGCCAAGCCTAAGGTTGTTGCCAAGACCAAGCCGGCTGCCAAGCCGGCTGCTCCTGCCAAACCCAAAGCTGTTGCCAAGCCAAAGGCTGCAGTGAAGACGAAGACAGTACCCAAGTCCAAGCCTGCTGCGAAGGTAGCAAGGACGTCCACTAGGAGCACTCCAAGTGCGAAAGTTCCGGCTCCTAAAGTGGCGCCGAAGAAGGCAACTCCGGTAAAGAAGGTTGTAGCTCCGGCGAAAAAGGCAGCTCCGGCAAAGGCAGCTCCGGCGAAAAAGGCAGCCCCGAAGAGTGTAAAGGCGAAGGCGGTTAAGTCGCCGGCGAAGAGAGCAGCCCCAAAGAGGGGGAGGAAATGAGGAGCCAAGAATCCCGTAGTGATCTACCATAGATTTTTTACTAGGGGTACTCTTGTAAATTCACCTCATGTTGTTGATCTAAGCTTGAAATACTCCTTCAAATTCAGCTCTCACAATTATTATTAATGTTAGCACTTGATTTGCCCTTTTATTTTACCATGGTTTGTTCAAGTATGTTTATTTGATTGATCTTGTATGGTGTATTTATGATAATTACCTCTATTGCTTCTACTTTGAAGCCAAAAATGATCTTCACTAACGGCATTGTAAATTTGTAACCCAGTTTTATTCTACTGGTTTATCGCAATGAATCATTTCTATGAATGCCTTATCATAACCAGTTCATTTTGTTTCATTGTCTGTCTTTGGGGTAAACGCATTACTCTGATTCACAACTGTGGTTTATTGTTTTGACTTTTTGATGATAATGAAATGTGAATAAGTAGGAAATCTATCAAGGGCATTAGATGCTTCTAATGTTCTTCTTTACATTCCAGTACATTTTCCCTATCCACCTTTTCTTCAAACCGAACATTCCAAATGAGACCCCATTCCATTCCTCAGCATCCATAAGCCATTGCTCTTGGCATAATCTAAAGGTATAGTACCAATTTTACCAACATGTATGTTGTCGCTCAGCCCAAGAATGTGAATACATTGCAGAGTTTATGTGAGCATTATATTCCATTTAGTAGTCAATATAAGTAGTCATGTACAAAAGGAAGACTACCAAACTAAGCTACCTTCAATATCCATCGTCTGGCAAACTTGTGTCATCATAGTAATAGCTGTTCATACACAAAGTTGGTAACTCTTTTGAGCACTCTTATTTGGATAATTTTGTGTAACTCTTCAATATTTGATCATTTAAGTTTGCACTCCTACTTGTAATGTTAGGAATTGTTCTTTTGAGAAACCTGAATGTTTGAAAAAGAAAGTGTGTAGAGAGTTGAAAGCTTCTTTCACTAGCCATTTGCTCCCAATGGTCAAAATGATGAGTTCTCTTTCGATTTCTTGCTTTTCTTTGTATCTATATAGATTTCTTTGAGAATTGGAGTTCGGATATCACCAATACTACATACACATCTCTTTGTTGTGTAATATTTTTGATATTTTGACCCATTTTTGAACTTTTTCGAGAACATACACGGTACAATACGAAAAGAGTTTTGAGCATAACTTTTGATCGGTTGAAGCTTTGAGGCTAAGATTTTGGAGTGAGATCGTCTCATCTAGGCGCATATCATCCCAAATTTAAGAATCATCAAGAGGTGATGTACAATTGGTAAGCTACAACCATTTTTGGCGTAAGGTATTGTACTTTACACACATTCTTGTGGGATGTGCATAGATTTTACCTTGTGGGACATTTTACTGGTAGGTTTTGCGGGCTTAAGGCTACATGAATTTAAACTAAAATGGTGTGTGAATTGCATGGTTAAACCCCATCATAAGGGGTGAGTTGTGTTCAAATTCAAAAAATAAGCCAATAGGTTGAAGGTTTTAAACGAAGGACCTTATATTATTTTATGTACAATGTTCATGTTAAAGTTGCTTTCGGAGGACTTTCTCTTGTGATGGAGGGATTAATCATGGGCTGGTTGAGCATGAAGAGATTGAGCAAATTCATTGTGACACACAAGACAATGAGGATAAAGTGGGGGTTCGGGGAACTATGTGAGAAACAAAGGAAGGAGTTGGATTCAGAAGAGGTGGAAGGTGGGATGGGTTTGCTTGAGTCTCCAATGTTCAAATTGAGCTCTGATGTAGATAAAAATCTCTGGGAGGTGATGTGCATCCCAACATTAGTCTCTTGACTATTCTTTTTCCCATGTACTCTGATGCTTTTGCTTTCCCCGTCTTTGTCCTTACAATAAACACAAAACTGATTCTAGATCACTATCGTATAGTCCGTGTTTTTTCTTGGTTAATACTCCTCTTATGTTTATCTTTTCATGGATATTCGTATGGGAAAATTTATATCAATCACCATGTTTTATTTGATTTGTATCACACTTGGAGCCTTGCAATCTGTTACATTCTCTCACCAATATCTTTGCCTCTCACTGAAAAGACTTGGTCAATTTATGCAAGCTCCGACTTGATCAGTTTATTCATGCTAGTAAAACATATGGTTTGAGGTTGTCCTGTCATTCCACCATGGATGTTCATGTTTACTCTGATTGGGTTAGCAATCCCGGTGATAGGAAATCCACTACCTAATTACTTTTTACATTGACTTGAACGCGGTCTACTGATCTATCTGAAGCAAAACACAACACAATAATCTTCGCTCATCCACTGAAGCTGAGTATAAAGCTTTGGCTTGTGTAACCGGAGAAGATACATGCTTATATACCTTCTTAAAAATATTTTGATCTATACAGGTATATTATTAACATATTTATTACTCCGTATTACATACAACACGCATTGGAATATTTCAATAAAGTAGAGAGTACTTATACCTCCCACGCTCACTCGAGAATCGGTACACTCCCTCGCGCACGTGTGCATGTCCGCGTTTTATGAGCTTGGATTTACCATCTTTATCGATACTTTTGTTGTTAGTAGAAAGTAGTTACTTTGACATCGTTTTCAATGTAATTAATGAACATTAAATGCTGAGAGGAAAGAATAGTAGGGGACTGATGACTGATCTATGTTCCATTATTTTATGTTCCAGACTTGAACCCAATACCCAGAGGAACTAGAATAAATGTTCCATATTCAATCCAACGAGTCTCAGAAACGAATGTGGTAGACCCATCTAAATTGATATTTGCATAACCATAATTTTTAATAAAAAATAAGTTAAAATATATTACCTCTGTCTCGAAAAGATTCGCCATATTGACTTTTATTGGTCAATGATGACAAACTTTTGGACAATAAATTTATTACTATATTGTATATAATTTTAAACTCCTATAATTTTTTTATAAGGAACATTTTGATATGATTTTCATATTCAAAATAATTTCATATTAAAAAATATCATTGGTCAAATTTAATTGTCATTGACCAAGAAAAGTCAATTTGGTAAATCTTTTGAGGATGGAGGGAGTAAATACTAAGTTACTAACTATGACCATATTTTATCGATTTCTTGATAAGTACTATTAATGTATATGCTAATTAAAGTTCCATATTATATACTATTATGGTAAAGTAATACAATATATATATATATATATATATATATATATATATATATATATATATATATATAGGTTCATGTGAGAACTTAATCTTAGGAGAGTTAAAAAGAATAGATGTGAGCCATTGGTTTAGCTTCTAATCATCCGTGCGCCTGAATTAGTATTGAGGGTATTCAAGTCACTTTCATATAAACAGTTCTCCTAATTATTTCGTACGCCTAAGATCACGGAATTAATCGGTTCTTCTAATCTGCATGATTCTTTCCATAACCGTTTCTCCTCAATCCTTTCCAAACATAGTTTCCTCCTTCGTCAGTCTTCTCTCCTAGCGCGTATTGATCGGCTTTCATCGTGACAGCTAATGATCGGATTTCCTTGTTTTTTCCTTGTGAGACGGTGAAACTGACGTATTCCGTTTGCTGCTCCATCGGCTGTGGGTTGTCTTCCACCTAACGTTGTTTCATGGAGTTTAGTAAGTATCGTTTTTTTTTTCCAGTTTTTGCATTGTTTAATTCTCCAAGTTTTGTTAGACCAAAATATGAGCATTTTTAGAAATCCCCAAAAAGTAACCGGCCTTTTAACTCATTGTACAGCCTCATCGAACAACCCTCAACACAGATTTCAACGCAGACTTCATCTCCCATCTTCATCAACCAGCACCTCCACTGGCTTCATCAAATTGAACCACCACCTCCATGGGCTTCATCAAATTGAACCACCACCTCCACCATCGACCTTCTGCGGATGAACCAACACCTCCACCGACGAACTTCTGCAGATGAACCAGCACCTCCATCTTTAGCGCCTGGCTACGATTTTCATGAATTCAGATGATGACGAGCTCGGATTTGACGACGTCATCCGCTCTCATTTGATGACGACGAGCTCAGATTTGACGCCTCACCACCTCGCCTCTCCGCTCTCTCACCGTCCGCTTCTCCGCCTCGTCGTCTTTCGGATCAGACATGTTGAACGACAAGCGACCAGATCTAGGGGGAGGGCGGCTACTATGGTTCATTGGCCGGTGGTTGGGATGGGTTGGGCTATCAAAGGTGAGGCTGGGAGGGGTTAATTTGTGCTGGTTAGGGTGGTCGGAGCTGGTTGCGGCAGTGATTGGATGGCTGGAGGGGGTGGAGTTGGTCAGAGAGGAGGTTGGTTGGGGCAGGAGGGGATGATTGGCGTTGGGCGGCGGCGATGTTTGGTGGTGGTTTGGGCACGATGGGTCACTGGTGGTGGCCGGCTAGAGTGGTGACCATGACTACAGCTAGGGAGGGGCGTTGGGGATGGTGCAGCCGGTGAGGTTAGGCGGTTATAACTGGATGAAGCAGTGCGGCAGCTTAATTGGGCGGTGTCGGCAGTGGTGTGGCCTGTGGGATGGCTACAGTGACACAGGCAGTGGCCGCAGTGACACGGGCGGTGGCCGCAGTGACATAGGCGGTGGCCGCAGTGACACGGGCGGTGGCCGCAGTGACACGGGCGGTGGCCGCAGTGACACGTGCGGTGACTTATGCAACATTTATGTTGAATAAGTACACTTATGTGTGAAATTTTATGCAACATTTATTCTAATAATTACTTCTTTTTATTTGATTAATTTCCTTCCAAAATTATTATTTTCTCACATTATTATTGGGTTAGTAATTTGAAAAAAAAATCAACCTTCGAGTAGTGCATTAGTGTATTTGTCATATTCAACCACTTTTCTAATGTAATATTCGGTCAATCAGATCAACCTAAGTTTGTCAATTTGCACTCCATTAGTTTAGAGGTGCACTTTTAGTCAGAATTGTATGCAACATCAATTTAATAAAAGATTTGGTCGTTGATATGCACATTGGTGTTATTAGCTTACACTTTCTATAACAATATATTAAACTTTAAGAATGCAGCTTTGCAATTCCATACAATTTTAGATAAAAATGATTTAAATAAAATGAAACTACATATACAATGGTTTGAACTCAATATTAAATATAATGTGCATTTGAAAATACACACAAGTGCACTATTGTATTACTCTTTCTAAAGTTCTACATGACACTTCTTGCAAAATGAAATGCACTTTTATGATGTGCACTTTAAATACATACATAATTGCACTATTATATAACACTGTCTACAATTATGCAAAATACACTGCACTAGTTTCATTTTTGTGATACATAATTAGCATCCTTTGATGGTTGACCTGCATACTCTATTCCATA